TGGATCTGCTGCTCATGTCTGGATCTGCTGCTCATGTCTGGGTCTGTTGCTCATGTCTGGATCTGTTGCTCATGTCTGGATCAGTTGCTCATGTCTGGGTCTGCTGCTCATGTCTGGGTCTGTTGCTCATGTGTGGATCTGCTGCTCATGTCTGGATCTGCTGCTCATGTCTGGGTCTGCTGCTCATGTGTGGGTCTGTTGCTCATGTGTGGATCTGCTGCTCATGTCTGGATCTGTTGCTCATGTCTTGGTCTGCTGCTCATGTCTGGATCTGCTGCTCATTTCTCTATCTGTTGCTTATGTCTGGATCTGTTGCTTATGTCTGGATCTGTTGCTCATGTCTGGATCTGTTGCTCATGTCTGCATCTACTGCTCATGTCTGGATCTGCTGCTCATGTCTGGATCTGTTGCTCATGTCTGGGTCTGCTGCTCATGTCTGGGTCTGCTGCTCATTTCTGGGTCTTCTGCTCATGTCTGGATCTGCTGCTCATGTCTGGATCTGTTGCTCATGTCTGGGACTTCTGCTCATGTCTGGGTCTGCTGCTCATTTCTGGATCTGTTGCTCATGTCTGGGACTTCTGCTCATGTCTGGGTCTTCTGCTCATGTCTGGATCTGCTGCTCATGTCTGGATCTGTTGCTCATGTCTGGGACTTCTGCTCATGTCTGGATCTGCTGCTCATGTCTGGATCTGCTGCTCATGTCTGGATCTGTTACTCATGTCTGGATCTCCTATAGTGTTGCGCCAATGCCATACCTGGTACAGGTATCACCCAATACTGGCTGTGCAGTATTGGGTGATACCGATACCAAACTGATACCATCTGTTTGAAATTGATGTGTGACAATAGTTGAATAGACTTTTGGCTCTCAAAATGGCATTGGTGCCCTATTTATTGGTACTCGCTGATACTGATACCATCATTTTAGTGCTGAATCGGGCTACGCCTGATACTGGTATTGGTACTAGTCTGCTGCTCATGATTTCAGTCCCCGACAGCTCCTTATTTTTCAGAATCCAGCCTGGATAGCCTGGTTTGGTTTGAATCCACCCTTTTTGTCTCCTCCAGGAGTTATCTGGACATGGTGAAGGTCCTGGTGTTCCGGTACTTCTTCTGGTTCGTCCTGTCGGTGGTCTTCATCACAGGGGCCACCAGGATATCCGTGTTTGGACTGGGATATCTGATCGCCTCCTTCTTTTTCCTGCTGTTTGGAACCAAGCTGCTGGTGCGGCCATCCAGAGTCCGCCTCATGCTGTGGGACTGTCTCATCATCTACAACGTGGCCGTCATCATATCCAAGAACGCCTTATCTGTAAGTAGAAGACATGGTTGCTTTATGGTCTGCAGCATCCAGCGGCTCGTTTCAAAGACTGCAGATTGTTAGACGTTTGTATAAATAAATGTTTGACATTTTAAGCTCTGATGAAAAATCGGGCAGAACATCAGAGCTTATTTGGAACCATTTGACATCAAGCCAGAACCAAATTGTGGTTCTGGAGGACATCCATGAATCAGTATTTGGCTCCAGACCAGCTCTAGCCAAACGATCAGCGATGGCCCATCTTTGGTTTCCATGGTAACACAGTAGCACCGGTTCCAGAGGATTGGATGAGCGTCTGGGGTCAAACTGTGACTGTGCAGCATAGAGGTTGTGAATGAGAGACGTGCTTTGGAGACCTCTGAGATTCTGGGTTTGGTTTCTTTTTTCAGATCCTGGCCTGTGTGTTTGTGACGGAGATGCAGGCCCGGTTCTGTTGGGTCATTCAGCTCTTCAGCCTTGTTTGCACTGTTAAAGGATATTATGATGGTACGTATCAAACATTGTTATTCAGTAGACACTGCAGCTGTCCATGACATGATGCTGAGCTTGATTGATTAAGCGCTAAATGATTGAAAACTTCAGTTCATTTCTGTTATTTTTATCTTCCCTGTTCTTTGTCAGAAGCCAAACACGATGTTTAGTATCTTCTTTTCTCCGACAGCTGAAGCGGTGAGCAGTGAGACGTGCAGCCTCCCGGTGGAGGAAGCAGGCATCCTGTGGGACAGTCTCTGTCTTCTCTGCCTCTTGCTGCAGAGGAGAGTCTTCCTCAGTTTCTACTTCCTGCACGTGACGACAGAGCTACAGGCGTTTGCCAAACAGGCGTCAAGGTGAAGTACGACGTTACCCAGCTGCTTGTTTATTGAGAAGGCTCACAGGGATATTGGGATATTACCAGTGTCTATACATCAGCACCCAAATCCAGGTCTAAAACACAGTTTAAACACTTCAAAGTCAAAGGGAAATCATATTTAAATGTCAAATCATTCTGGCTTAGTTTCCCAGTCAGTGGATGTACTAACCAATAAATCCACATATACACCAATGAATCCTTTAGCATAGTATGGAGCATAACATTAGTCTGGCTATCTCTGACCGACTTGAAGACATTGTCTGAGTTAGCCATTGACCTTCTGTCTAATGAGAGAAAATAGAAACTAGAGTAAATAGAAAGTAATTCTCTGTGAATGCAAATGTAGTAATTCTTTATTAAGTGCATGATGCTGTCGTTTGTAGTGTTTGTTGTATTTCTCATTTGAAAAAGTCAGGAAATATATTGCATGTTATGTTGACGATAAAAAAGCAACTCAAACATTTTAAAGTCTAATGCACACAGACACAGCATAAAAGTATATGGCTTCTTTCATGCACAATTTGCAAACAGGAAAATACTACAGCATTAACAGACATTAACAAACTGGCATCTGAAAAGGATCCAATATCAGTGTTTGACCTGACTAATATGTTCCTGGAGGAACGCTACATATTCTTCCCATTGCGGTGGATAACCAGGGTGGACCGACATGTTAAACCTGGAATGAGGCTCATGTTCAAGTGTTTAAAGGCAGATTATCCTACCTGGCCATCTACGGTGTGTCTACAGAGCCCTGGCTCTGCCATCAGTGTTGGTTCATGGGGAGACTGGAAAGTTGCAGCGAAGGGACTGAGATTGAAATTTGAAAAGATGTGAGCTATGAGAGTAGAGGAGGACTGCTGGAAGTCAAGGTGACCCAGGGAACCACCTGCTGTTCCTAGAAAGCCAAGTCATATGTATATTAAGCATTTAGTGAGGTCCCAGCAAGGGTCAGGTTGCAGAATTCCTGTTTATTAAATTGTTATAAAATTGGGTTAAAATCACGCTGTTAATTTCTGAAATAGGTTGAGCATATAATGTGTTGCAAATGATTTCATACAACTTTATAGTCACAATTAAAAACTGTTTTATTGAAGTTGTTCTATGATAGAAATTGTGTCATTTGTCTGATTTTGGTTGTAACATTCTGTTACAATCAGTTATCCAACTAACGTAACCTAAGTTTGCTGAGTCAATCATTTGTGTCAATGCCTCTTGTAGCAATATAGATATGAACTCTCTCTGATTTAAGCCATTTCTTTGTAGATCTGGTGGTAAACCTCTGCAACCACCATGTAATGCAGTTTGGGTAATCAAACAGATTG